ATTTTGTTTTTCAAACCACGACTCGGAAACAATTCGGGCTGTCAGTAAAAAGATGTTTATTAATAATTTGTTTTCCTTACATATTAAAAGGGTAGTCACAAGAAATTACCTACGCTAAATAAATGTCTAACTACATATTACAGTAAAACGTTTCTCGATTTGGTTTCGGTTTTGTTCGTTTGTTTGTTTTTTTGCATTATTTTTAATTTTTTTAAGAAATGGTTCTGTTTACAAGAGGAATGTTATTTATTTTTATTAACAAAAAGAGATCACTAGAAATAACCTAAGCTAAATAATGTGCCTAATTACAATCATGCTATTAACTTTTGTTTTTGTTTTTTTTGTTTTTATGTTTTTTTATGTTTTTTCCTTTCATTTTTTCCGAGAAACATTTCAGTTCATAAAAGGAATCCTTTCTTCATTCCACCAAAATTTGACTTCTTAGTCCGATGTTTCTTCTCAGCGGTTTTCTGACTCTCGGTTTGATTTCGTGTGGCGTCCTCTTGTTGTTTCTCGACGCCATTTTGCAGACTTGATGCATCTTCCTTAATCCGTTCTACCTCGATCTGAGTTTCACTTGAAAAGAACGTGGTTGTGTCGTCTTTAGAAACATCACCCAAGTCTTCCTTTGTAGGATCATCATCCTCCAATGCTTCCTGTGCGGCACTCTGCAAGCAAAGGTGATAGAGGGCTAAGCAACTGTCAAATGTAAAATCTCTGTGACTGATAATTGCGCAGTTACGTACGTAAAAAAAAGAAAAGTTGTTTCCTAATCATTGATTGTTAGGCCTTGCTTGCAGAAGTTGTAAATAGTAGATCTAGATTTTCATTTTCGTGTTTCAAGTTATGATTCAAATTTGTTTTACTTTCTGTTAATTTTCGCCGTCACCTGTGAAGCAGAGTTTTCATTGTTTTGGTCATCTCCATTTATACTGGTAAATTTCCTGTAGAGATAAAAGCCTGCTCCAGCGGCTAGTCCCACGCCTAGACAAGTCAAGACGAAAGTCTTCAAATTTCCCATGCTCTCAGTACTGAGGTTCCTTTTGTAATGTTTTGCTTTCAATAAATTTCTCCTGTGACTCTCACCGTACCACAAAGGCAATTTGCTTTGAAGGCAATAACGCGTCAATCATTTACGTTTGTGACGTCGTATATGTGATGTCGCTAACTAAAGATAATTACAAAGCGCGCGGCTGCCTATAGCCAAGATACTGGCATGTATTGGCAATCTCCCCAGGCGTCTTCCTAATACTTGTCTCAACTTCGTCCCCAGGATCTTCTCCGCTTTTCAAAATGGCCRCTGAGGAAAAGACCCTGGGGACGAGGTTGCACTTCATGGAATGCAACGCCCTTAGGAGGTATTGAGGCTATGGGTGGAAACTGTAACAAAATAAGTTGAAAAAAGTGCTTATGAACATCACGTTAGGATCGGACTGAAACCGCTATTCCTACCTTTACCTGACTTTGAAGATGATGATTTGTATCCCTTAAGTTTGCCGTCAGTATACCGTGTAGCACTTTAATTTTGCGGTACCGGTGTTTAATTTTTGCGGATTTTGCAGATGGTACTCGATCCGCAAAAATAAGTTCCAGCAGAAAAAAAGAAACACCAGCAAAATTAAAAACCGCAAAAATTTACTCCCGTTAATATTATCAAAAATGGCTTTTAATCCACTTGTGTTACTATTTATCATACATTGAGGTGAAAAGAAAGTTTATTTTGATATTTGAATTGAGAAAAAGAATTCGGAGCTTGCTACAAACAAACTGAAACGATAAAAGTTAAGTCAATACTTTTCCAGTAAGCGGAAATGCTTTGTTAGCTTTTGTTGTACGACCGGCTTGTTGTTGACTGAAATATCTGAGAAGTATAGACTGTTGTTTTACCTAAAAAAGTACTAAAAGTTGAAGATATTACAGTTCCTTCCTTGCTGATGTCTCGCTGCTTGAAAAGGAAACCGCAAAAATTAGGTCCCAGCGGAAATTTCAGTCAATTGGAGCCGCAAAAATTTGTTCCCGCAAACCTGAAAAAATCGCCAATCCGCAAAATAAAGTCCCCGCAAAAATTTCATGCTACACGGTAGTCGCCGGCCGATCGCCCTATCCTGTAATGACCTGCGACTGAAAAGAGTCTCACTTGCTCAGTCCCTGAACTCTCCACTCCCTCCGCCATTCAGTAGCGGTTGAACCCAGGCGGGAAAAAGAGAATCTCTCTCTTTTCCCGCGCGGGTCAACCTCGACTTCATTACGCAGAGTCTTCGAGACTCGAGGAACGAGATTGCGCGCGGGTTTAAGAGAACGAAAAACGTACTGCACAGCTTTCTGGGCATCCTTAGCCCTGCTTTAAAGAAAGGTAGACTGTAAATAACTCGTCGGCTCGCTTCGCTCGCCGAATTTTTTCCGTCCTTACCGGGAGCCTATTCGCAGGCTATTTATACTTTGGGATACTTTGGTAAGCATGAATTTTTCTCGGTATTTCACTGTTTTTTCACTGTTACGAAAATAAAGGCTCCCCCTGCCCGCTGAGAGGCTTTCTTGGTTTTATATTCAGTGGTCATTCAGTGGTTTGCTTATGTGGCCGGATGGATGCAACTGACGTATGAGCCCAGAGGGTTTGTGTGAAAAAGTGTCTTCGCACCGAAATTTCTTGTATACACAGCGGGGCAATATCGGGGGCGGGGGGGAGGTACTGCCATATATGGGCTATATGGGTATGTGCCGCTGTGAAGGGTATGGTTTTCAAGCAGTTTACTCTAGGATAGGGTATATAAATCAGAGCGTTTGGGTCTAGAATAAGGTATTATTTTTCACAAAACTGACTGGTTGGTTGCAGATTTTATCTAGAGTAAGGAAACCAGGAATTGCCCCTCAAAAATATAAAAAAATCAAACCGGCAAGTTTAAATTTACGCAAATCAGCCTCAACAATTCAGCTGAACTAGCTCTGGTATAGGCTAAGGGTTCCAGGGTCCCAGCGGCACATCCCCACCCAGTAATTCCCAAATAACGCCCCCCTCCCCCTTCCCCGGGCTAGGAACCTGGCGTACGGCTAAAACTCGTGCACTATTATTTTCACGTTCGTTTTTTCGCCCCCATTGGATACTTACGTGACCAACTACGTAATATGTTACGTGACTGAAGACGCTTAGTGGTTTGCGGTATTTGTAACAAAAGTATGCCCTGACAGCACGTGACTTCAAAAAAAAAATCAAACAAAAATGGCGACAGACGACGATTTAGATGAGATACGTGCCTCAAGTCGTTCGGTTTTTTGGCGATGAATGAAGGCAACTACGGAGTTGCCGCGTGGAGCAATGCCTCAGCTATATTTACTTTTCACAAGTCTGCCAGAGAACGTGCAGAGAACGTTTTAGCCAGCCATGTCAAACGCAGCCGTGGACGCTTTTGTGCTGCCGAGCTCCACTCAGGGAGAGTTTTCCTTGGGCGATCTCGATGCAGAGAACATTAAGACTATAGAAGAAACTAAGGCGCGGATTCAAGGAAATCTTCACTCATCTCGTGATCCTGGTCTGCTAAACGCAATGGTGGATTATTACTTGAAAACGCGCTCTCCTGCTTGCTTGCAGATATTGAGCAGCATACACGAGGCTCGTGCACAGGTAAGCTGATATGTGAGTATGTGACAAATCTGTAGGTTTACGTTGTATGTCTGTTGAAGAGGATGTTTGTTTCCTGGCTAAAGATCTCTCTACAAACTGCAATTTAATTCTGCTTACCTTCTTTTGAAAGGCATTATTTGAGAAAATGAACGATTGCCTGCGACACTCGCCTTCCCGTTTGGACACCTTAACACTACTGGGACACATCGTACGAAAACAGGTATTTAAAAAAAAACAATTATGTGGAAAGGAAATTTAATATGTAACATAATTAATCTTTATTTCTAAAATGCCAGACTTTTTGTAAATGGGATCAATTTTTGTTTGAAGGCTTGGGACAACTTGATTTCAGCTCTTTAAGCCGCGTGAATTTATTTTCACACGTGTTTTGCGCATCACAGAAACCGAACGTGTGGATCACGTTTTTCGTTTTATCGTGTGTGCAAGTCATCACTCTTTTAACCTGGTAGTTATTGTGCTGGTTTTCCATTAACTAATTAAGTCTCGTGGTTTGGTGGTCTGATCCTATCTATTTTAAGACTTTGAAGTCAGGGAAGCTTCAGAATGTGACTGCTGTCAAACCCAACATCTTTTGTCATGTGGACAGTAGCCAAGGTCCCAAAATGTCTTTCTTTTTTAGCTGTAAAATGGACACCTAAAAAGTGGT